CAGTTGAGAAATACGGAACACTTACAATGTTAAAGGAAATCAGTCTGAGCACATCTGAAAACTGGTGATGCTAGCTCTGCCTTGCAGAGTGGCCCTGCTGATTCTTCACATGCACAGGTGCAAAACAAAACTGATTCTCCTGAGCACAGTGGGGTTTGTCATGATTCATCATACAGCTATCCAATGTGAATTTAAAATTTTACTTAAGTTTTCACACATGCTTCACACAAGCGTACCTACCAGATGTGGTGAAGGTGGTGGAGAGAGAGGACTGGCTGGATGTGATGTATGTAGTGTATCCTGCCACCAGAAATTATCCCAGTTACTGCCTCTGTGAAAAGAGCGGTTAGTTTAAAACTGTAGCATGAAAGGATGCCTCTTATAGCTTGCCAGTGGTGCTATGGACTCCATAGATTTCCTTCTTTCACTATGGTTATATATAAAGTAAGTTGAGCATTATTTTATCTTGCTTTCTCTGAAGGTGAACTAATGAGTTGTAAATGAATCTTTACAGATTGTTGTCTGCAGGGGTGTACCTTGTAAAGAAAGACTTGTGAAACTAAGCAGTAGAAAAGATATTAATGTGGAGAGTTAAAGAATAAACTGGGTTAAAAGAGATTTAATATTTGTTAATGATTTCTTCTTACTCTGCTCATGAGCATGTCTCATGAGCAAGAAGGAGAAGCTGCCATGTTGTAGTGGTGAGCAAGAAAGCAGATCAGATGTCCAGAAACAGGCAGGTGGATGTTTGAACTTGCCCTGGATCACTGCTTGATTCCAGCCGAATTCTCCCAACAGGTGGTTTGTTGAGTGGTGTGCCAAGGTGACATTCATCCAGGGAACTGCCTGGATGACAAGCTGCTTCAGACTGAGGAAGAGAGTCTTTTCTTTGATGAGGAAACTGCCAAAACTCCTGTCTCATTAGTGTTTCCTAAGGTTCTTTGGAAGTGAACAACAGTTTAATTAAAGGCTGATGTAAACACGTTTCTGCACACTTTCCCCGCAGCATTTTATCACATTAGAATTGATCAAAATTGTTGCCTTGGGCTGTCTTGAACAGCTATACATCTGGAGCACCATTTGTGCAAGCTGCTGATGAGCAGGCTACATACATTATGCTTCACAGCAGCTCTTCTGCCTTCCTAGGTAGACAGATTTACCTTGTTGGGAGATGAGATGATCTAACTCTTTTTATTTGCATAAGGCCTTTTTTCTTTGATGTGATGCTTTAAAATGTATAACATGCCACCCGTTTGGGTGCATACATACTGTATCTCCACAGTAATATGAGAATACAGGCAAGAGTGATTTGGAACAACCCCAAGAATTAAAAAAAAAAAAAAAAAAAAAATCACAAAAAGCGCCTATTTTTCACATTTGAAGAAAATTCTCAGCAGGACAGGACACAGTGTCTGATTAATGTTGACCTTCTGATAACTTTGTCCAAGTGCTTTTGGCATCTTTCTGCTTTTCATCTGTACTTAGCATTTTTTCCAATAGTCTAAAAATAAATCACACTTGAAACTGTTTTATTTTCATTCTTAAAGTAATAAGGATTGGAATCTCATTCCTGAAACTTTGACACAGACATAAGAGCAAGTGGCCTATTTTTGTGACCTCTGTTTGTCATTCATTATGTAATTTTCAGTAGATAACTAAGCTCTATGTAGCTACTACACTATATCTCATGATGTGGAAAAAATAAGACGTGTTTTAAGATCAGAAAAATGTGTGTTTTCTATTATGTAGAAACTACTTGTGGAATCGTATGAAGTGTCACTGTCACTTTAACTCATTCTGCTTTATTTAAAGGCACTGTTTCTTATAAGCAAAATTAAAGACAGTGCAAAACTGCTTTGCATTTTTTTTTCCCACTTTTTGTTTTTGTAACTGGTAACCCTCCAACAAAATGTAACTTGTGTGTTTTCCTATTAAAGCTCTAATCCCCTGCTCTTGGTCAAGGAGGAGATGGCTGCAGCCTTTCTTCCTAACCTATACAAACAGTTCCATCTACCCTGTCGGCTTCATCTGTTATTTGCCAGTGGCAGGAGTATGAATGCTGCGTTATGATGGCCAGGCATACATGGGGAGAGCCACGGGGGCTGCAGGGGGGAAGGGGCTATCTGAATTACTTCTCAATGCAAAGTGCATTGTTTTAACAAAGAAGCTACTGCCTGCACTTCAGCTGTTATTCTTTGCAGTTGCCTATGCTATATATAACGAGTCTTCTTCTGAAAGTACTTCATGATGGTGTGCTGTGCAGTGTGTGTTAAAGTCGCTGTTTTGGTGGGTAAGAAGTATTTTTATGGCAGGGCTGAATTTTCTCTTCCGGACTATGAGTTGTGATCACCTTGATCAGGAAACAGTCTTCTGTATGAGAAGTTCATTGCATTTGCTTTGTGATTTATGCTATTTTCTATGTGCTAACTACAATTCTTACTTGTGTAAAGTAGGAGCAGGAATAAATTACACATTTTTAAAGCAAATGCTAGGGTTATCATAGTTACCAGTCTCCTTTTCAATAGATTCTTTTCAAATTAGTGATGCCACTGGGGGGTTAATGGGTACTCTGATTACATTGCACTTCATATAGCATACTTCTTCTGAGCAACTACAATATTTTGATTTTGAAAAACACAAAAACTTTTGCTTGTTTAATGAAGTAACAGTCACCAACCAAATTAAATCTCTGTTGCATTCCAGAAATTAGAGCTCTGACGCATGCAGACCTTCAGGAGCTAGGCAGCTCTTTCTTTCATGAATTCTTTTGTTAAATATGAGCTTTACATGAGGAAAAGATTTTCCACTTCCAGCCCATGGTCTCTTTTTCTCTTTGGGAGACTTAAGTGCAGTACTTTTAATCTGAAATAAAATTGAACTGTTTGTACATTCTCTCTTTTGTGAAAGCCTGTATGTGGTAGAGCCAATGAGATATTTGGTCACTGATAAGTTCTGTGACAACTACTGATGACCACAGCATTGTAGTGGAAGGCTGTGTCTACAAGCCATTAGGCACACTTATCTTTTTTTTCAGACTGTAACATTGCAGCATTTCTGCAGAGATAGAGGTCATGCACGCACAGAACCACAGTACAAAGACAATATCTGGTTAATTTTGTCCTGGGCTTTTATAAAACCCTACATCTGTTGTGGAGGTGTGAGAATTTTCTTGCTCTGATGGAACTAGGGCCTTATGTGAAGAAGCTAGGGCTGTCATTTGAGCAGAAAATAAAACATAATGAAATATTTGAAAATCATTCCAGAATTAATGTGTGTTCTTACCATGGTTTGCCTATGCAAAACTCAATTTAAAAAAATTCAGTCTTGCAATTTTAAAAATTATTTCTTAGCTTAGCACAATGTATTCAACAATACTGTAACCATTTGGCAACTTTGTCTTTGCTACCTGCTGATAGATTCAAAGAAATAAAATATTGCTCCATTTTCTTCCTCAACAACAATTTATTTACCAAATTTTTACAAGACGGCTAGAGGTGCCTCTGTCAGCACTCAGTGTTTTTGATAACAACATAAAATTGCAACAGATCAGTATAATAAAAAGTGTACAGTAACCTTTGTCATATCTGTTAAAACTGAATGAGTGTTGAATTGCTTTGTTGTTAAGAAATTCCTCACCCTTGCTGAATGTTTCACTGAATAAAATCCTTTCTTTGTGGCCTTCTTGTAGAGGTGAACCTTGCAGGGTATCTGGGAAATCAGCAGACTTAGCAGTCAGGATGAAAGAGGAGCAGGGGACTTGCATGGGGGATGGTGGAGGGGCACTGGCAGAATCTGCTCTGGGTCTCGTGCCAGTGCCGATGCAGGGCTTGACAGCAGGATGGGGCAGAGTGGACAAGTGGTCTTTCAGTTTGATGGGTCCTGCACTAAGTACGGCTTTCCAGGTGAAAACCCACACTTAAACTCCAGCCAGTTCAGAAAGCATTGGTCCAATTTTTGTCTCATTAAGGCGCTCACATTTTGCAGGCCTGTCTTTGACCTCCAAGGTGATTGTATGTCCCCCAGAATAGCACAATAGAGTGTTCCAATATTAAAAGTGCCAAAATCATTTTAAGGGCTAACGTGGTCCACGTAGGAAAGTCAGCTGCAATGTGGCCCCAGGCCAGTAAAGTGCTTAAGAAATGATGTTTGCTTTAAACATGAGTTAGTCCCATTGATTTGAAATGGAACCCACTTACGATATTAATGTGTGTCCTATAAAAATATTATAATTAACTTTGAAATAATTTGGTGCAAAGTCCAATGAATGTTGTTTAACTAACTTAAACTTTCAGAAAGAATCCAGTATTCTTGCTTTATACAATATCAGTAACCCTGCATGGTAGAAATCATACATTTGTCCCTACTGGTGTGTTATCTTCATGTGGTGAACTCTAAAGAGACGTTTTTCTTGTTAGGGAAAGTGGAGGGAAGAGGTGGGAAGGCCCTATTTGAGTGTCCTGGTTTTGGCTGGAAAATATGAGGTAGAGAAGTTAAAGTACCTTTTATTCTTAGGGAGGTTACATTGTTTCACTATGGTTTTGGGAAGGGTGAGGGATGGGTTTTGAAATAACAAAATAATAAATACCATAACACAGCATGTGTATGGCAGTTACCCTACACACCTGAGTGTAGGTGTTCCATTAAAAAATGCAATAAAGATTATGTGGCTGTTGAAGGATCACATGATCTGGTGATGTTCTGGGGAACTGAGAAATGTCTAGGGAGATTCTGAAGATATACATTTCTTCACTGTTTGGCTCGCCTGGTATGAAAGGAATGTAGTTTCTGTTTTGCAGGACAAAGACCAGTTAAGGGATTATTATTCATTCTCAAGTTTGAAAGCAATAGTTTAAAATTAGTTTATTGGTCATAGGGGAGCTGTGTCACCAAACAATATTTATGCAAGAACAGTAAAAATAAATATCTTCAGTGTACAAAATGATGTGTCCTGAGAAAGGCATCTAAGCTAATGTCACTGTTCCATTGTTTTTCTATTACAGATATGTCTTCTCCTACAATGAAGAAACCTGAAAAGCCTTTGTTTAGTCCTACTTCTCCCCAGGATTCTTCACCAAGACTGAGCACTTTTCCCCAGCATCATCACCCAGGAATCCCAGGAGTTGCACACAGTGGTGAGGGTTATGGAGGAGGAAGAAAGACCTCCCTATTCATTTGGGCTGTTCTCCTTTCTACAATCAGATTGTCATGTGTTTTTGCAGACTTTCTTAGAGACCTAATCACATTTATAGTACTGATGAGAGTAGACATGGAACAGGTTGGGGTATCCTTGCAGAAATGCTCATTAAATTCAGCTCAGGTAGTCTGACTGCTGCAAGCCACTGGAAAGGATTTAGGATTAACCAATGAATAAAATAAGCTGTAAGCTGCATGAAGAAACTGATGGAGGAAAAATCATCTCTGTCTTTCCTCCTTCCACCCACACCCTTTTTGATTATTGTTGCTGTGACTATGTTGTGTTTAAATACCAGAATAGGTAGGATTTAATACACAAGAGAATTCACAACCGTGTTCACTATGTGACACAATGAAATAAGTGCCAGTTCTTCTTCTGAATAATCTATCTAAAGAGGTAGAATCCTGATAAATATTTTTCAACACCTGTTTTCTGAAATCCATAGGAAATCCATAATAAAACTTCACTTAAAATGTGAAGGAGACACTTGAAATGTGATGGTATGCATGTTATCTTGAGGGTTTATCAGGAATGACAGTGAAAATCCAGCATCATGGTCTGTTTAATTTTAGAGGTGAGAGTGACCCTGATTCTTCAGATGAGAACATGGTCCTTGGAAGTCTCCCCTCCGCAGCTCATCACGTCTCCTTCCAAACTGCATATAAAGGGATTCATTTCTTGAGCGAAGTTGGGTGACTAGAGGAGTAAAACAGATTTGAGGACTCTTTCTGCTTTTCTTTAACATGCAGTGCTGCTTTGAGAAGTTTCTGTTTTGTGATTTCTCCATGATTTCATGTTCCTTTCTTTCAATTCATGTGTAAGGACGATTTTCCCCTTAACATTCACTTACTTTGTATTATGAAAGTGAGCCTGGACTCACTCTGGTCTCTGTAAGGTTTCCATTATCAGCAAATACTCAAGCACATCGAGATGATGGATGAAATGGAAGGGATAGATTTCTGCTCACTTGTGTTTGTTTTGCACAGCTCCCACATCAGAGCAGTAACTAATGTTTTTTGATTGAACTGAACTGGTGGGGCTGTGACTAAAATGAGCCTGTCACAAAAGAAGCTTCCATAATTCTGTTTGGCCCTATACTTATGCATAGATCTTTACATTTGCTGTAGTGTATAATTTTTAGATATATGAATCTGAGTGACGGTCATAACCTAATTTGTTGATGAGCTATTTACTTGCTAGGAAACCTGATTTCTATCTGTGTAGCCTGTTCTATTATGCCAGTGAGCAATGTTTTTGAGATTTGCAAGGTTTTGATTACCATGTACAGCAATTTTGGAACATCCTTACTGTTGTTTTTAATTGGGCAAACTATGACTTGGTCCTAGCTCAAAAATAGCAAGTCATTTAAAAATTAAGATTAAAAAAACCAAAGATATGAGACGTGATCCAGAAAAGCAGTGTTGGTGGGCTTGTGCTGATACAGTGTAGAACCGTGAGCAGTTTATAAAATACCTTGCTTATACAGACCTGATTTTGTGCCCTCCCTCTAATGAAAATGAAAACACTGTTGTCTGCTCTATTTCCATTGAACTCAGTAGCTCCTTTTTAATAAGTTGCCAAGTAGGTGCCCTCTAGATATGTAGTAAGGGTGGAAAGCGGGTTGTTGTGCAGTGTGATAGAGGAACACTCTCCACTTCCAGCCGGATGACTGGGCAGCAGCAGGGCATGTTGTACATTCCTTCCACTGTGAAAACATTGCTGGTTGTTTAGACATTACATATAGTCTATAGATAGAGAAGTGTGTGTTTGTAGGGGCTTGGAAGAAAAAGAATGCAAAGAAAAATATGTACAGGGTAGATATTTTTTGTTTGTCAGAGATATTTTTATTGGATGGGTTGGTTTCCCAGGCCCTGCAGTTGAATGTTCATTAGTATTTTCACAAAGGCCAGCTAATATTCATGGCATTATTGATGAGTAGTTACTAGCCCATCCCCACACGAGGCAAGTAGAGGGCAATGCAGTGAGGAATCACTAACTGTTTCTTAGGACTTGGTGACTTTGCTCTCCTCTGCTGGGATGCTGTGGATAAAAGTGTAGGTTTTATTTATTGAGTAAAATATTTGTTTTGTTTATTTGGGCTCCAGATGGGAAAACTGTATAATTGAAATGTCTTTTATGCCACAGAATGATTACTGTTTAAAGAAAAAGTGAAAAAATATGATGGCATAACCTGCAAAACCAATCCAAGATACAGTATTTATGAATTTGAAACAGTAGCACTTTCCATTGCCTGGGATAATGTAAGGGGAGGACATGTAAGTTTTTCTGTAAAGATGCCATGAAGCAGGAGTGCAGTGTACTGATTTATAACTGACTTTTTATTTTTCTTGCTGTAATACAGAGGTGAAGAATTTTAGAAGAAACAAGATGCGAAGTAATTTTAATTTTATTTTATCTTCTCCAGTCATCTCAACTAGAACTCCACCTCCACCTTCACCATTGCCATTTCCAGCACAAGCTATTCTCCCTCCTGCCCCATCTAGCTACTTCTCTCATCCAACGATCAGATATCCTCCCCACCTGAATCCTCAGGATACTCTGAAGAATTATGTACCTTCTTACGACCCGTCCAGCCCGCAGACTAGCCAGGTACTGTAAAACAATGTGAACCCTCCAAAAGAAATCCTGTGAGGAATGTATGTTTACCAGGGTGTCTAAACCAATATCTCACTAGTTCTGGTCTTAGAGCAAGCTGGGAGCTGTCATATAAGCAAGCCAGTGACTTTTCCTGTTCAGCGTGGTTGAATAAAGGGTGCAGGTTAGTCATATCCACTTGCTGTTCCTCTGTCAAGCATAAGAAAAATACTTGTACTGAATGACCCAGCAGCACTAACAGGGCAGGTCCCAGTCCTGCACCCCTCCCGCAGGCTGGGCACCTCTGTGGCCACACAGGGCCACAGGAGATGAACCTCCTGCTGCAGGATTGAACAAGGAGTGTGCTGATACATCCACGTGCATGTATGCACATGCACAGACATACAAGTATATTTATAGACCAACAATGAAAATAAACTCTGGCAAGGTAACGCTTGTCCTGTTTCATAGGCACCTGACATTTGTTTGCACAGATGCAAAGACATTACTGTAATGAGCACAGCACAGACCCACAAAATTGTTTTTTCTTCCTTTTGTAGAGAACATGCAGTAACAGATGAGTTCCTGGCTGCTACACTGATTCAGAATTGTGTCTGATATGGGAAATGAACATGGTTTTCATTAGTGAAGTAATTTGTGAAGGACTGTGTGCAAAACTGCTTTCCATGATAGCATCAGCACATAGCGTTAGCATGTGATCTGCACTACAGGATAAACTGCAGTTGAGACTTGGTCTGACAATACTTGGAATATTTCCAGTGTCAATGTAATGTAATCTTTGCTGCTCAGGCCGTTTTTTATTTTTGATGCCTTGTCTGAAAGACTCCTGTGGCGTCCTGTACCCTGTGCTTTAGCACATTTTTTGGAAGAGACTTGGGAATGTAAACTGAAGAGACCACGGTCAAGTGTTCCTGCTCCTAAGAGTTAGGTTCCTGTGGAAGGACTGTCTTATCAGGGATGAAGGGATTGCTGTGACAGTATTTTGGTTTGGGCTTTGTTTTGGTTTGTTTTTCACCAATAATGACAAGCCTTTCAGCGTGTGTTTCAGGCACAACTTGAGACTGAATCAAACTTTCTGTGTTGAATAACAGACACAGGCCCTCTGGGCTGTTCAGAAGGTCGTTGTGGCTATTGTCCCCAGGGGATACTGCTCTGGTCCAGCTGCATGACTTTCTACATATCTAAAAAAAAGTGGGTCCATAAAATCAAAATTTACTTTGAAGGGAGAAATCCTAACTATGAGATTTTTGTTGGTGACAATATTAATGCAAATTAAACAAAAAAGTGAAAATGAAGTATGTTGGCTTTAGAATACAAATTGCTATCTGTGCATGGATTAAAAGTCTTTCAGTCCCATATAGCATTTTTGCTGAGACTCAGCTGGGAATGTTGCATGCAGGACCTGATTTTAATTTGTGTAAAATTTCCATGAATAACAAAGTCTAATTAAGACATCCATTAAAAGTCCTTAACGTTAATTCAGTGCGGAAAATCTTAGAGTTCTGTTGGATTTTTTTTTTTTTTTAAACTGATGTCTTAATTAGGCACTATTAAGGGAAAAATTATGCAAATTAAAATCAGGCCCTTTCTGTTATGCATTTCTTTAATTATTCAGTGCTTGTTTTACTTACATTTTGATTTCTTATATATATTAAAAGAGCAGATCAGGTGATAATCTCTGGATTGTTCAGTGTTCTGCTTTGGATCATTGCTGAAAAAATACAACATCTAAATGAAGTATCTGACTTTAAGACAGTTGACAAATGCACTGTCTTGTGATTTTAACACTGGGGAGTATATTAATTGAGCAGGAGAAGTGCTTTCAACTCTTTGCCCAACAAGAGTCTTACTCACTTCTCTTGTCTTACTCTCTTCCCTTATCTGTGGTTGAAAGATTAATCTTTAGACCTCAAAAGATAAAATTTTACTCTGCTGATTTTTTTCAGAGTACTAGCAAACTGAAAACACATCCTATTCTTGTGTTGTGGCACCATAGGGAATAACAGGCTAAATTGGCCTCAATTTACTACTTTCATCACCTTTCATAACCTTTATATTAGGGTAACGTTCTTCATTTCATTTGATGTTTGATTTGTTCTTGAGAAGAGGCGATGGGGTTAAACAACACCAAGTATGGGATTCCAGGCATCTGCATCAGCTATTCTCCACTATTTATTATCATTAATCACTATTATTAGTGGAATCTCTTTTAAATTTAATTCTTTAAAGTTCACCTCTGAGATATGCTATACATCAGGAGCTGCATGGCCAGTCAAATTATCTCTAAATAGAACAGTTAAAGGATGGCTGTACAAAAAATAAAACTGCAAGAATAATTTTTTGCTTAGGAAAAGAAGCAGCAGCCGTCTGTGAAGTTTCAGGGACAAAAGGGAATTGTTCTGATACAATGGCATGCTTTGAGCCAAACCAGTTTTTCTTTTCTAAATAAAACATGAATTTTTATTCAAACAAATTTAATTATTATAAAATGCAAAACTGCATCTGTAGGAATACCACATCAAATTTAATTATACTTTCCCACCTCAAAACATACTCATTTGGATTTCAAAAGGAGAACTATGATGATAGTTTTAATTTCAGCTTTAGAAATAGAAAGGATGGATACCCTGACAGCATTTACCTAAAATGAACTGTTCCTCCCCAACATCTTTCAGTAATATGCTAATTTAGATTGTTACGACAAGCAACTGAGATGCCTTGTACTCCCCACAGCAATTTTGAGATTAATTACATTACTGCTGCCCTGATTATAGTGAGACAGTCATGCTATTCAATGGAACACTTTAAGTAAAATTAGTTTAAAGATATAGAGCTCCCATAGGTTTCCACAGTGGGAAGCAGTGGGCAATTTTCTTGACATAATGTTAAATACTCCAAATTATGTGTGATGAACAGTCAGGAAGTTCAAACAGGCCCTTTGGCTGCAGTGAAAAATGATTCAACAATGGATGAGCCTCAACAAAAGAGAGCCGTGGCTGTCGGTTTCATGCATATCTGCTTTTTAGCCCCTGTTCAATCTGGAGAATAAATAAACAAATGTACTGAACAGAAATGGATCTTGTTAGATATAGAGCTGGACTTGCCTCCAACTGGTAGTGTAAAAAGTTCCCAAGGTTTTGAGAACTGCTGTACTTTCCACTAATTAAGTAATTCTGCTGAGCCCTTTTTAGTATACTTATTTCATTGCTTTTCTTCTTAGCTAGGCACACATGTTACTGAATGAGATTGTGTGTATGTGTATGTAACTGTAATATGATGGGGTGCTGATCTCTCCACAGTTAAATTGATACTGGTCACTCGTAAGTTTCAGCAAAAAGAATAGGTTGGTATGCGTCTAATCCACCTACAGTGTTTATCCATCTACAATGTATTGATGTTTTCAAAACTATCACAAATTTTGAACATGTATTTCCTTTTTGAATGATTCCAGATGGGTAAATCTTTTAATCTTGGAAGATACTACCTCCTCTGTGTGTAGGTACATGTGTGCGCGCGCACACACACACACAGATCTGCACACGCTTGAAACACATTAATAATTGAGAGTGTATGAATCAATATACAGTACCAAAATCAGACTTCCAGTGAGCCTGAACAAATCACCAAGCATGACAACACTTGTGTGGCTGAAGTCAAAACCAAAAGCTCCAAACTTAATACCCCATCAAGTTAAATGGACAAAGGTGTGCTGAATCACAGAAGAAGGGTCAGCAATTGTAATGAAGGAAACAATGGTAAAGCAAACAGTTAAGGTGAATGCAGCTGAAGAACATCCTGGCATCAGTGAGAAACTTTTTTTCTGACTGAACCAAGCAATCAGAAGTAGATAATCTTGCAAGCCCTTTGAGTTTGGATTATGAAGGGCACAGTTTACAGGTAACCTTAAATAAAATTTTGTGATATTTTTGATGAAATACGCTGGTTTCAGTGGTATGGTAAAACTGCCTCCAATTTGGGAGAGTTAAGTATTGGACCCTTTTCTTCTTACAATAAATGGCTTACACTTGTTACATGCTACAGTCCAAGTGAACTGCTGTCCACATATTGACTAAAATTCCTGGGCTGTTAAAATGTACTTCGTTGCAATATGTAGTGTGCAGCTTTATCTTTTTAATGGTTTTATCTTTGAAGACAGAAATATCTGAACTGCTTGAGAAGAGCTGCTTCTGGAAGCTGGTGAGGCCACTTAATTTCCTCTCATAATTGATTGGGGTATTCAGGTTTTTGTTCAATGAAAGATAGGCACACTCTTCAGGAATGCCAGGCAGATGCTTTGTCATTCTTCAATACAATAACTGCAGTCATTTAGCAATGATGAGTGAATCTTGTGAGGCTCTGTTTGGGCTGGTCAAAGGGTTTTCTGTTGGTTCGTGGGAGAATACTAGCAAAATAAGCCGACACAAGCGATATGTGTCCATGCGGTTTCTTCAGTATAGCTAGTGCCTTTATTTGTTGTCATTTAATAGTTTTCAGCTTCTTGGGCAAGTCTTTCCTTGTATTTTTTTAAGAAATTACTGAAGATTAAATATGGCAATGTGCTGGTTTTGATTGTAATTGGGAGGCAGAGAGAGTACTAGCTTAACTGTATCTACTGACAAGGCATTTAGAGATTTAATTGCAGTTGTAAATGATTGCTTTGTATTTAGTTTGCTCATTTTTAGTTTATTAAATGCACAGTTATAAGTCTCCAGAGTGCATGAAATACCATTTAACCCAAAGATATCTTTTGAACATTTATCTACAAAGAGATTTCCTTTCCCATGTTATGTAATACAGACTTACCCTGTTAAGGCAAATATACGACGAAAGCTGGGTGTTTCCTTGTGTTCTACCTGTTGACAAATAATTCAGATTTTTTGAGCTCACAGGTAAAATTGTGATTCAGGATAGAGGACTCTTTGTCTAGAATGTCTTATGATATCTATGTCTGAACATGGGTTGCTGAAGCTCTGCAGTTGCTCTCAGTTTCAGCA